TCTTTAGGAGATGCCCCCAAGAAGTGTATTATAACTAACTGGGAGCTCTGGCCATTAGCTGCAGGATCTCCAGTTTGCTAGAACCAATTCTGGTCGTTCTTTTTCCTATCGACAGTACTCGGGGACCTCTATTGATCAAGACTAGTAAGTTTCCCTTTAAGATTACACTGACCCAATTTGAAGTTGATCAGATCAATTTCCTAGGATGAGTTTGTTAAAATACAACAGCACGGAAATGGCAAAAATGGTGCCACAATTGCACACTAAATCTAAAATGGCCAACTTCCTTTTGAGTTGGGGCCATTCTACAGGATGCATAACTCTTCATCACCACCAAATTTTGTGCTGCGTTTCATAACTTTTGGAGCATGCAGTTGCTAGAAATGCGATTCATTTCAGGTGATAAAAATAACCTGAGCAGTTTCAATAGGGCCTAATAATCCTCCTTAGTTGAATCCTAATTCCTGAGTTGTTCCATTTGTTCCAGCTGTCAAACCAGGAGAGTGTGAGTTCGATGCTGCGTATGGCAGGTCAGGAGCTGGTGGTGTTGATGTGTGATCGGTTGGCTCAGTCTGAGGAAGTAGCGTACAGAAGAAGAACTGAGATGGAGGAGGAGAGGATCCACTACCTGGCCACAGAGGAGAGAATACTCTCACAGCTCAAGTAAGAGTTTTGAAAACATACTAGTGTGTTTACATGTGTAATAGTAAGCTGGTTATGATCAGGTTTTTGGTTCAGGTGTTCAGAAACCTGGATATGCTACCTGGACTTTTTTGGAAATCCACAGCAAAATCTTACATTTCCATTGAACTGATCATGGAAATGTAAGATGTCAGCTCTATTCTTTAGCTGACACACACATTCGACCTTTCAGTAGAGGCCATGAATTCTGACGTGGTGGTTTAGACTTTTCAACATTTACCCACTCGCTCTGACATCACGCCCCTAATGATGTCACTGCAGCTGAAGTCAAATCATCAGAGGCATGCACGGAAACATCTTTACACAGAGAGAAAATATGAAGAAACATATTGTTAAAAATAGAGCCAGGGGACGGGAAGTGATTTGATCTGGTCTGACGTGTGTTTCCAGAGACATCAGAACTCATTCTCATGTTAGCAAGATACAAACTGACCTCACTGCACAGATGACTGTGTTAGCAGACGCTTGATATTTATGAAGCATCATGAGTAGGAGTTTCAGAATGAGCATGATACAATTATCTCCCCACACATCATTAACAAAATAGCAGCATATAAAGTAAGCATTATGCATTAATAATGCACTTTTCTCCCGGAAATGATGAGATGAGATTGTTTCACCTGAAGATTCATATTTATGTATGTCCAGAAACAGCTGTACAAAATCGCTTCCAACCAGACTCCGTTGACAAAAATTGTAATTTTACTTATATATTATTGTAAAGTCGTAACAAAACAGCTTTTGTTCATCTTTCCACTGTTTCAACAATCACCAATTTTGGTTTTGTTTAAATAAATCTTTAATTCACTGACATAGTTTAGAAAAAAAGCAGTTTCAATCACTCTACTCAGTTGAACACGGACGGACTGACAAGCTAACCTGCACGTGCGGCCAGGCCGGCTTTGTAAACAAAGCTCAGAGAGGCTTGACGTCATTCTCTGCTCAGGACACCATTACTTTCCGCTGGTTCCCAACCTGGGGATCCTGATCCCTATTAAGGGTTGGCAAAGCTTCCTGGGGGTCACAAGGCCTTCTTGATTTTAAGGGGTGTAAAAAGACTTATACTAAATGTTCTTAAAATATACAGGCCTATATCTCAGCATTTCATTTAGTTCTGTGAAGATTACTAAATAGAAACACTGAATTTGTCAAAAAGAAGCCTATTAAAATAAAAAAAAAATAGACATACAGACAGATAATTGTATAAAAGTTCCTAAAAATATAAAGAGAATCCATCCTTCCTGTAATATTAACAGGAAAATATCTGCTCAAAAGTCATCCAAATTGTACATTTTACACAAACTCCCTGCAGTTCTTACCGATCAGCCATAACATTATGACCGCTGACAGTTGAGGTGAATAACACTGGTTATCTGGTTATTATCTCACCTGTCAGTGGGTGGGATATATTAGGCAGCAAGTGAACATTTTGTCCTCAAAGTTAATGTGTTAGAAGCAGGAAAAATGGACAGCGTGAGGATTTGAGCGAGGGCCAAAATAGTGATGTTAGTAATAGTTAGACAACAGAGCATCTCCAAAACTGCAGCTCTTGTGGGGTGTTCCCGGTCTGCAGTGGTCAGTACCTATCAAGCAATGAACTGGCGACAAGAGGTAGAAGGTGGCCTGTTCTGATGAATCACGTTTTGTTTTACATCTTGTGGATGGCCGGGTGCGTGTGCGTTGCTTACCTGGCACAAGGATGCACTATGGGAAGAAGGCAAGCCGGCTGAGGCATTGTGATGCTTTGGATGATGTTCTGCTGGGAAACCTTGGGCTCTGCCATTCATGTGGATGTTACTCTGACACTTACGTCTGCTCCCTCACATTATCATATATTATTAGAAAAAAACTGCATTAAAAAGATTCATATCAGTGTAAACACAGTGCACAAATTTGAATTGCTGATGCTAATCTTTGCTATACATGCTATACTTACTAGAAATATGTGTGTGTGTGTAGGTGTGTGTGTGTGTGTGTGTGTGTGTGCACAAGAATACCATAGGCACTGTAGGTGCTATGAAAATCACAGCATTTGTTCGTACAACAGTGGTTTAAAGGCGCACCAAAGTATATTGGTTCAATCAATTAATTATGGCTATCAAAATTTATTAATCATCGTTAACTTGTGAAAAACTGAGAACGATCTGATAGATAGGCCTTAAACCAGCTTAAACACACACATATAAACACACAAATCTGCATTCCACGTCAAATCTCAGCAGACAATCATAGGTAGAGTATACTGTAGGTACCATTAATTAAAAGTATTAGAATTGTTGTATTATTGTGTCTAAATCTTTTTCTTAATTTGAGGACCACTAGCAGAACTATAAAATGTATTAAAATGTCCTCTGTTTTGCTCTGCTAATCACATGGTTAACTTTTTCGCGTCTTGACTGTTAACACCAACACCTTGCTTGCATGCTTGATGTCTTTGTCACCTCTCAGTGAACTGGAGAATTATGTGGACCGTTTGCAAAGAAGCTCCGCCTCTAGTCCCGGCCGGCTATCGATAACTCTGAGGGACGTGGAGGAGGGAGCAGTCAACCTCCGGAGAGTTGGAGAAGCTGTGGCCATCCTTAAAGGTCGGGTTGGGTTGTGTCAAGACAGGACTGAATCCAATTGTATCTCTATTTATTGGCAGATTGAGGTCTGCAGACTGCAGTTGTGTATTTACTGTTCATCTTTGACTGGACTTCTGGACTGTCTACCATAATATACTTTAAAAGCAATAAGATTTTGACAGTAATAATACCTTTTGTTCAGCATTAATTTAGAATGTTTCATGCAAATCAATACTTCAATATTTGTTCAAGTAGGAGTGCTGGCCTTAAACACCCACCAGGAATGAGACAGGAGCAAAACAGTTAAATTGTGATACAAATATGTGAAGATTCAAATTGGTGACATGAAAAATTAAATACAGTTCCAATTCAATTTTATTTGTACAGTGCCAATTCTTAAAAAGTTATCTCAGGACACTTTTCAAAAAGAGCAGGTCTAGACTGTACTTTTGTATTTAAAGAGACCCAACAGTTCCCTCCATGAGCAAGACCTTGGCAATGGCGGCAAGGAAAAACGTCCTTTTAAGAGGCAGAAACCTCGGACAGACCCCGGCTCTAGGTGGTGTTAGATAGAGAGGGGGTTAGAGCGGTAGAGGGGTTATAGGTAGTAAAGAGAGAAGGGCAGAGACAGAGACAAAGGTGCACAGCAACTATACTAGTAGAAATGACGATAATGATGATGATGAAGATGATGACAATGATGACGACAATGACAATAATAGCCACAACGATGGGGGATAATGAATAATTGATATAATAAAGCTTGAAGCAACGTTGAAACGGGAACTTCGCACTCGTGGCGGACCAAAACATGACATTTCACGTAAATCAGATCAAAGTTGCCATTGCAGCGCTACTACCCTGTTCCCAGTAGGTGGAAACTATCATATTTCTGAATATAGGTCTGTAACGTACTCAGGGCGGACCCTTATCAAAACCCGTGAAGTTCATTGAGTTTGGACCATGTACACTGAAGTTATGAGAACGGTCGGGTGAAACTGTACAGATATATGTGAAGTTTAGTGGAGATGGACATAGTACTCTACAGTTTGTTTTGATGTACTGACCAATTTTGAAATTGATCAGATATATTCCTTAGGAGAGTTCATTCAAAAATTTAAAATGGCCGACTTCGATGCCAACGCCACGGACACGCCCTGTAATGTAAGATTCATAAAAATGTCATCGTCATAAGGAACTCTGACAGAATTTTAGCTGATCTGGGGTCAATCTGCTGGAAGATATACATAAAAGT